AGTGTGGGAAAATGGAAAGGTAAGTAGAGAGCTGCTAAGTAGCAATACTTTGTGTTTGCCTTAGAGGCAAAGAGAGTGAGAAAACGGATCACCCCAGCTGAATTGATTGAAGGTTTTTGGCTTGTTATGTCTGCACTCACAGCAGATTTACTGTATCGGCCCAGAAAGACGGGACAAAGACTGTCTAAACTCTAGCTTATTATAAAGTAGAGTTTAAAGTACTTTGTGATAGGGAAAAAAGAGTAATTTGTGTATATTTGTTCAGCATCTTCATTCAAAAAGTTAGACAAAATATTTGCTTTAATTTAATTTATTAGAACAAAGATTTCCATTTCATCTATGAATGTTATCTTAGTAAAGGGTACATACATAAACGAAATATAAATACTAAAAATGTATGCAACTTTTTCATATTTTTTATCAGTTTATTGAGTCAGTATGTGCTCAAATGACCCTTTAGTGTTAATGAAATGTCTCTCAGAGCCCACCACCCTCTGTGACCTGAATATTGCACTTGCAACTTCAGAGTGCCTGTCCAGTCCTGGTTGGACTCTGTAAAAATAGAGCTGCTAGCGCTGCAGTCTGCTTCCAGCACGTTTCCTGCATGTTTTAGATCATGAACTCAGCTGATTTGTTTGAATTATTGATGAATCACTCCTGCCGACATTAATGAAGGCTGAGGAGACATTTCAGCTGTTAGATTAAGGTGTTAACAAGATAAACACACACAGAGGGAGAAAAGTTTCACTTCTGGTTTCACTAAACTAGGGGGCTAAAAGTAAACACATCTGGCTCCTTTAAATGTTCTAAACACGACCATTCAACATTTTTAAAAGTATTCATAAAAATCTAAATTATTTGAGTAATCTTGTCCAGACTGATAAAAGTAACTCTTATGCTGGCTAAATTAAGATGAACCTAATTGTTTCAACAGACTCATTAATGCCACATTTTTCTTTTGTTATTAGTTAAATCATCTGGTTTTTGTTCCCTGTTGATTCTATTTAAGGTTTTAAAAAGCAGCTGTTGTATATGTTTGGACTCTTGTGACACACGTCAGCTTTATTGTATTTCTGTCAAAAAAATCTGTCAGCCTTTCAAAAACACGCAGCTAACTGTTCATTGGATTTTGACAAAACAAGCTCTTCCAGTCCAGAATTACAGTGCTCAACAAATCATGGGGCTACAATTACAGAAAGCGGAGTTATTGATTCTCCCATATGGCAGGTGTGTCTTTCTTAGGGAACAAAGTGGTGCTCTGTGTTTCAGCACGACCGTTTGTGTCGTGGATCTCCAATCTGAGACCTGTAGGGGCCCAAGTGGGGCTCCTGAGAGAGCTGTTCCACCGTGCTGAAGCCTGATTTGACAATTTGTGATTGATTCAAGAAAAACAAGAAAAGCTGTTCAGAAAAAGATTAAAAGACATCAACACAGCTCTGCTGGGCTGTTGTTAGAGAGAACGGTTTCATCACCTTTGTTTGTGTGCCTTTTTCCCACAGACTGAAATAGTTACAATATGAAGCACATGACAAAAAGTTTGAAGTTGTTTAAATTAGACCAAGATGTGAAAATCTAGCCATGGCAAGCCATCCTATATGTGAGTGTATAGTCTTTCCACGACCCATAGACAGATCTCTGGTCTCAGCATGCTATAGGAGGATCTTTGTTAGCATCTTTTTTCATCTTTGTGTGCATGCGCGAGTGGCTGGGTGGCAAAAGAGGCTGCTATCAATCATGACGTAAACTTTTAAGAGAGTCTGTTGGCGAAATCCCCGATATATAAACATTTTACCGTCTAAAGACAACAGGAGGTTTAGAGAGAAGCTTAAAATCTGTATTGAAGACAAAATTAAAGTTATTAATGTTTGAGCTCTGAAATGACAGAAAACGTTATATTTTCCCTACAAATCTGCTGGGGAGACATTTATTCTTATTCAACAGAAAGCCTCATGCTCTTGACTCATAACAAATAAAGACTTTCAAACGTCTGGAGGCCTACGATTATTTTGTTTTAAGGAAAATTGAGCCGATCTCCTCTGAAAACAAAAAGCGGTGCTCGTGCTGATCAGAACAACATGACTCCCTGGATTTAAAACTACACAAAGAGGAATGTTTTTACAAACATCTTCTCTAATTGACAAATACTTGGTCACAAGGACTCACCGTGATTTAAATGAGCCTCATAAGCTGTCCATTGCTGCAGTAGTCCAGGCGTTCTTCAGTTAGTATCGTCGCTATCATCTTTTTCGTATTTCGCAGTCATTTATGAAGGAAATTCCAATAACACTTTTGATCAAGCCTCCCACGGGCCGAACAACCAACCACACAGCAAGAGTGCTTCGCTAAATCCTCCTCCAAACGTGCAAAACAACCAAATTATAGGTAAAGCATGTTGTTTCTTGCCAAACACTCCTGTGATGCAATGTGAGAAAAATAAACATTAACGTCACAAAAGATCCTCTTATAGGACAACGAACAACGTGATGCAGTCACTGCTACGGAGGTCATTCAGCGGGGCAGTCCCCCCATACACTGTTGAAGAAAACATAAATACATCCTTTTTCCGAATAAAGGACTTTAGTGCCTCTATCTGCTCTTGACTCCAAGAAAAGCCAGAGTCTAAAAATTCCAGACATTTTTGTGTTCCCGCTCCATCGCAGCTACATGCCGCCCACCAAACCAATAGAGCGCTGTGACTGGTTAGACACAAAAGTGCTCTGGCCAATGGTAGACCTGCTGAGGCTCCAATGGAACATGGCTAGCCTGACCTGCAGAGCAAACTCATTTAGCTTTGGCTCCTGCTGTCTAGATTTCTATACCAGTGAAATGCAATCAGTAGGTTTTTAAACTCTTTTGTTTTGTTTTAATTATTCTCTCGTAGATTTCAAATTTATAAACGGAATAGGGTTACAAAAATATTTCTATTATGTTTTCTCCCATTCCATTATAAAGTAAACATATATTTGTAGTACTGTTTAAGTTACACAGTTTAAAGTTCAGTGCATATTAAATGAAGTCAAATTTAAATACTAAGTTCAAAAATTATTTTACAAGAGAAAAGTATGTTTTTTGGTTGATTTAATTTCCTTTCTTCTTTGTTAAAGCCAATGAATTGTGGACATGACTTGACTTGTACTTTATTTCGAACTAACGTAAAAAAACATTTTGTTTTTATACAACACAACTCGACATTGCAACAGAAACCCACAGGCTTTTTACGTGTTTTAAGGACCTTTATCTTAACAACGGCCTTTGCTGGATCTTTCTTATTTATTCTTTACCACTGAACGTTTATAAAGCTTGGAACAGGCAGGCAGACAATACCTACAGGCTCAACTAACTGGTAGAAAAGGTTTCTTCTTCTCCTTCTGTAAACCTGAGCTCAGACACCCTGGAGACCGAGGTGGAATGTAGTCTCCAAACTCAAACCTTTCTCAAACAAAGTTTTAAACCTTCTACAATGAGAGCTGACACAGCTATAAAGTACACTTAGTCCCTGGCTCATCTGCTGGAGCTGCTTCTAGTTATTATTTGTGCCAGTACTCACTGTAACAGCATCCCCAGCCTTCCACAAACAGGAGGCTGCTGAAATCCTCCGACAGCCCGCAATATTTTTATTCTGCTTTGGGCTTTCTCCTTTTTCCTTCTTTCTTCTCTTGACAAACAGTGAAAACCTAAAAAAATATTATAAGTTTGAACTTACAAAGTTAAACCAATTATGAGTAATGTTCTTCTTTGACATGGTCCCAACATATTAAAGATAATAAGCTGTAGAACTTTAATCCAAAGGTTTCAAATGAAGGCACCTGTCTTGGTTTCTTGACAACATTTCGCTTCTCGTCCGAGGAGGTTTGTAATTTCTGTTTGGAATATAGGAGGGTCAAAATGTAGCTGTCTATTGTTGCTTTTTGAGCAGAAACTACCTTTGAATACCCCTCCTCCCTACCCCATGAGGAGTTGTTGATGTCATTAGGTGCTATTGTGTTAGTATGGTTGTTTTGATTTGATGTGGGAGGCTTTGGTCTAGACTGAAATTGGGATGGAATTAGGTTCAAAGCTGCACTGTTGGTGCTGGAAAGGTGAAACCTGAGGCCTTCTCCTCAATTCAAAGGCTCACTTGGCAGTTTTGCTTGCTTTTAGCACCCCCTAGTGTCTGTTATTAATTCTCTGAGGTCAAACCGAAACCAAACCTTAATCAAACAGCTGAAAGGTCTCCCAGCCTTTTCTTGTCTGCAGGAGCAGTCCATCACTAAATGAAACAAATCAGCTGTGTTCATGATCTAAAACATTTAGGAAACGTGCCGGAAGCCGACTGCAGTGCCAGGTATGTCAGCTAAGTCCCAACAGAGCGACCGCCAATCTGGAGTTGGACATCCGTTATTCTGGCCACAGGGGGTGGTGAGGTTCATCAGCCTCATAAAGGGTCATTTTAGCATGTATTGACTCAAGAAAATGATTTAAAAGTATGAAAAAATTTCCCTAGTATGGCTTTAATGTAGTAGTTTTTTCCTGTTTGACAACAGACAGCTACAGTTTATGAGCTCGACCCTCTCCAATTCCAGTCAGAAATGACAAAGCTCCTGGGATGAGAACCGAAACACCTTCAAGAAACCAACGAAGTCCAGTTGCCCACACGTACATACTGTATGTGTTGTGGAACAAATGTGTCCTTGTTTGCAAATAGAATCTGTATAGAAAGGTGTATATATGACTGACACAGTTATATCTATTTAGTATTTGTAATAAAATAAAATCAAGTCCCATTTAATAGATGGCACCAAATGTCTGAAGTCAACATGACATGCAGTAGAAAATCCCATGGGTTATATGTCCATGGGTTCCGAGGATAATCTACCAATAACAAACATAATGGAGCCATGGCATAATAGGGAAAACCACAGTTGTTTCTATAAAGTTATGTACTGATTTTTAAGACTTTATGATTTAAATCAAATCAAACCAGTATGTTGATGAAATGCTGCACATCTCTTGTCTTTCAGTCCCGTTCTCTGGGATTAAGACCTATGTGGATCCTGATACGTATGAAGATCCCACTCAAGCCGTGGAAGAGTTTGCCAAAGAGATAGACCCCTCATGCATCTGCATCGACAGGGTGATCGGGGCCGGTAAGACCATCCGTATAATAAATGTGTTTTATTTAGTGGTTATTCAGTCTTGGTCTATCTGCTATACTGATGTTACCCGAGTCAAACTGCCCTGGTGATTATGGTTTGGCATCTGTGATAGAGACATGACCTCATTTTACGTACCATTTTATGAAAATAATGAGATGCCGAGACCATTGAAGGTTTCATTTTAGATTTTTATTGCCTCCATTAGCAGCTGATTTCAAAATAAAGTTTTATAGCTTAGAGAAACAAACCCAGGACTGCTGACTAACAATGTTTCCTGATTCATGAAGAGAACAGAATTTTTTTCTATTAAGAACTGCTTGTTGTTTCCGGTTCCAAGGCTGCCCTCTAGTGGAGCCAGTGTGTCATTACCTGTTTTCAGTTTAGCTATTTAGATTATTTAAAAAAGTAAAATTTTCATTTTCACTTCATCAAAAGCAAGAAAATCTGTATGAATATTTTAACACCAGCATACATTACAGAGTTACATTCACATGGTGCTTATGAAGACATTTTATTCTTTCTTTATGTTTCAGGTGAGTTTGGGGAGGTCTGCAGCGGCCGCTTGCGTATACCTGGAAGGAAGGACATTGCAGTAGCGATAAAAACTCTGAAAGGTGGCTACATGGATCAGCAGAGACGCACGTTTTTGCGTGAGGCCTCGATCATCGGACAGTTCAGCAACTCCAACATCATCAGGCTGGAAGGAGTTGTCACCAGGAGTAAGCTCCTCCTTTATCAACAGATGTTCAACCACTTATGTCAGTTTTATCCATTTATAATGATGCCTCTAAGGGATAAAACACAACAGTGCTAAAATATCAAAATAAAATTATTGTCTTTTCCAAATGGTGACACTTTTAGGGTTTATTTTTATCTATTTTTTAAGTAGTGTTTTTGTCTTCTCTGTGAAATGTTCTGGGAATTAAAAGATTTTAGCATCATAGTTTTTCATTTGTTTATCATTTTTTCATAGTTTGTAATTTTTATCATTTTTATAGTTGTTTGTGTTTTTATTATAGATTTTTGCTCATTGTGGTTGTGTTTTACACTCTATAGCCATCGTGTCAAATCATTTATATTAGAATGTGGTTTACTTTTGTATTTCACGCCAGGCAGACCCGTAATGATAGTAGTGGAGTACATGGAAAACGGAGGCCTTGACACATTCCTCCGGGTAAGAGTGCAAGTTTACAAACGTATATTTTTCCGGAAAGCTCTCTACCTTCTTCACGCTGTCCTCTCTCTCTCTCTCTCTCTCTCTCTCTCTCTCTCTCTCTCTCTCTCTCTCTCTCTCTCTCTCTCTCTCTCTCTCTCTCTCTCTCTCTCTCTCTCTGTATTGTAACCTAGACCCGTGATGGCCAGTTCACGGTGCTGCAGCTGGTCGGGATGCTGCATGGCATCGCAGTGGGGATGACGTACCTTTCAGACATGGGTTACGTTCACAGAGACCTGGCTGCTCGCAACATTTTAGTGGATGAGAACTTGGTGTGTAAGGTGTCAGATTTTGGCATGTCCCGAGTCCTTGAGGACGATTCTGAAGCAGCGTACACAGCTACGGTGAGTGTGCAAATGGTAGCAGGATCAAAAATATGGAATCAAACAAGTAAGAATCACAACCCTTTATTGTTTGTTATTCCTTTGTATCAGGGAGGAAAGATACCAATACGCTGGACAGCACCAGAAGCTATTGCCTATGGAAAGTTTTCCTCGGCCAGTGACGCCTGGAGCTACGGCATTGTCATGTGGGAGGTGATGTCATATGGTGAAAGGCCCTACTGGGAAATGTCCAATCAAGATGTACGATTTTAATGACGTTAAGTCCCATTAAAACTCTAAATCACTGAAATGTTTTGTGATTTTAATCCTTACTTTTTATTGGTCTCAGGTTATTTTATCTATTGAAGAAGGCTACCGTCTGCCAGCGCCAATTGGCTGCCCGGTGATTCTGCACCAGCTGATGCTGCACTGCTGGCAAAAGGAGTACAGTCAACGCCCACACTTTAATGACGTGCTCTCTTTCCTCGACAAACTCATAATTAACCCCAGCAGCATGCTGGCTCTGGTCAACGATGCCATTAGGTAATAAGTGTGTTGTTTTCAGTGTGTGTGACATGGCCTAAGCATGAAATAAACAGTCTTATTCTGCTTGTCGTCTCAGCTTCCCCGACTCTCCAGAGGACATGCCGGACTATCCTCTGTTCATCTCTATTGGTGACTGGCTTGACTCCATCAAAATGAGCCAGTATAAGAGCAACTTCCTGGCAGCAGGATACACCACGCTGGATTCTATTTCAACCATGAGTATAGAGTGAGTCCAGCCAAATTATGTAGAGTGCTGCTACACCATCAAAAGATGCACTGAAAGGAGAACATGTAGCATCAAAGGAAAAGAAAACAGCTGGCATTGTCATAAAAATGCATCCTGTATTTTATCCTGAAATTGTAAAAAGGTTTTTTTGTTTGTTCTATTTTATTTAAATACGTTTAAGAGGGCTCTGTAGGCACTATTTGTTAAATGAATCTAATGATTTAGAAAACAACCCACTCCATTTTTTAAAAACTTTTTAGATCCCATCAGCCAAAAACAGCGTAAAAGTGCCTATTTTTTCTAATTATTGCTGCAGTGTGTTCTTTAAAGGTGTTGAACACAGAAACCCCATTTAAAAAACGCTTATTTCTGATTATAATCGGTCATCCTGAGATTTTCATGCAGGCTGAAAATGAAAATAGTCTCATACCTAGCTCCTGCATTAGCTTCTGACAGAAGATAGACGGTGAAACTCTAAGAGCTGAAAAGCCTGACAGATCTATATCACAATGTCACTTAACATTCATGGACTCGCCCATCTTGACTGGTTGGTTTAGCATCCAGGAAACAGCACAAGGCGTCCCAACTAGTCAAAGCTAACTGTTAGCATTAGCAACTCCACCACATGGCAGAAATCTTCCAGACTTAAGGTATTTGAGGAGATAAAACCATAGACATGAATACGTAGATGCGTGATTGGGTGTTGGAGAGCGTAACAGCATCGCTGTCATATCGTATGGGTCCCTCACTCTCCAAACCCAACTAGAGTTTAAGCAGGGTGGCTAACTATGCCCATTTTTTGTGCGGCTTACAGTTGCAACAACCGGTGCACTATTGACAACAGATCACGTGGGATTACAATTGACTTTTCTAGCCTATAATTTAATATTTTATTTTATTATATTTATTGATCTTTTAACTCATGCCATACCATGTGTCTGATATTGTGAATAAAATGTGTTTTTTAGTTGGGTAAGCACCTTCCTCAGTGGAAATAAATGCACTGGGGAGAATTGGGACCCATCCAAGATGGCTGCCAGCTCCAACAGGCAGTGCCAGTCTTTACTGCATCTACTTATATGGTGTCTGTGGATATAACATCTAAGTTGCAAGTCAGTGGTAGAGTCACATTGCTGTTATCCAATCTGAGGCGAGATGTTCAAATATCAGGAAATAAGACTCCAAATCCTGACGTCTGAAACTCAGCTGTGATGTGGGTAACTTCGAGTTCCTGGAAATGGTGCACTGGTATATTTTTTTCCTCCTGAGTATGACTTACAAGGAATTAATTCATACTAGAGACCACTGCAAATGCATTGATTAAACAAGCTTCCCGCACCTTAAAGTGCATGTCAAGTGTGCCTCAGAGTCTTACCCCACCCACGTATCAATTTTGAAAACTGCAACATTAGTAGGCGTTGCCTGGAGGACCGAGAGGGCGGAGCCGCGGCAGTGACGAAGAGACGGCTAACTAGACGAAGCTAGCTCCCTTCACTCTGAGCAGTCATTAGAAGTGGAGGACGTTTCTCCCCCTCCTTACCCAGACACTCGAGAAGAAAGGGACCAAGTCTATTTGGAGGAGACAAGCGGACCTGAGCCTTATTGTTTTGAGCTTGTGAGTTGCCTGAAATTACTGGAACCGACCCAACAGACCCATCTCTGAACGTAAGTAGCCGTTAGCCATAGCATTGGATTAGCTGCAGGGTTTGTCTCCATGGCCCTAAAAAGCTAGTATTCAGCATGTTTTAGAGATTTATCTGCATCAACACACCTGGTTTTAATCAGCAACAAACAGCTGAGCTGCTTAACAGCTTATCTAACCTGTTAAAGCAGGAAAATCCACTGAAACGTGCTGGATAGCAGCTCTCCAGGAGATCTGGGCTCAAGCTACAGTCTGCTGCATAAAGTTATGAAAATATCCCATGAGAAAATTATTCTGTAATGTGTTCAGCCCATTAAAACTGCCCTGATTTCATTATTTATTTACTGATGCTAGCTGCTCTTGGTTGCAGGTGATCCTCTGGTGTCTGCAGCTGATCTCCTGCTGATGTCGTCGGGATCAGGAGCTTCCAGAAGAATGTGCCTTTCAATGACTCTTTCCCCCTTATTTGTTATATTAATTAAATAAATCTCAATTTATATATTTCCTGTTTTTGTTCATGTCCATAAATACTTAAACATGCTTGAAATTAAAACGAGCTTTTAACAGTGAGGTGCTAGTTTAATTCATCACAATAGAGCTAGTTAAACAAGCAACAATGTGATAATCAATGTAATTTATAAATATCCATTAAAATATCAAAACTGGAATCAAAATGAGATATTCGGCAGCACAAAAAACTTGTCAAACACAATATTTATTATAATAATTGTAGGCAGACAGGAGACAGAGCTGATGGAGGTTCTCAGTCATCGAAGGATGGCTGAAGGCTTTCCAGGAACAGGAGATGTGGTGTTGTCTCTTCTCTCTCTATTCTGCCAGATGAGCTGGTAGGTTACAGGTGTGTGAGGACATCCTCATGCTGTCATAACCAGATAACATGAGTTATCAGGTGATCAGCCAGGCTAATGATGAGATGCAGAAAGAAAACAAATCATGCAGAAAGAAAACAAATCCAGGACAGTGTACAGTAATAAAAATAATATGTGGTGTTGCTCACCTTATGTGCTCTTATAGAGTTATTAACGTGTGCCTGCCTCATGGTGTAGAGTCCATATTTTGCTGAGTGTCCTGCAATAATGCAGGTTATTAGTTAATTTACTTTTGATAGCAAAAACAAAATATTTAAAAGTTATTTACCAGGTGAATCAGCTCACACGTCACCACCTGGTGGTGACCACCAAGTGTCACAGGGCCAGAATCAGTAGCCTCCTTCATGATGTAATCACATACTTATTTAATTGTTAATATCTTAAAAATTCAGAAATGTTTTAATTTTTTTTTACCTTGAACAGTTCACTGAGCTTGCACTGTCACTGAGGTGGAAGCTGGAATCAACAGCAGACACCTCACACGTGGTCTTTTCAGGGGGTGTGGATGCTCTGGGACCTTCTGGAAGATGAATTTCTGTCATGGTCCCTGTGTCACAAGACACTGAGGCTGTGAGCTCTATAAAAACAAAGAAGCAGCACATTTATAAATGTTTAAAAGAGCATAAAATCACTTGTAACAATCTGTAAAACAAATTAAAACTAGAAGGTAATAAAATGTTTACATAGAAGATTATTAAAAATAATTCACCTTTGCTACGGGCAAGGCTTCACGTCAGCCTGGACAAGTGCATTCTTGCAGATTACTAAATCAGTCTGACAGCCAGTGTCTTGGGTAGATTTAGCCTGAAAAAAAATAGAAGCACATTGATGTTTATAAAGTCAGATAAAATACAAAAAAAAAATGTCCCATATAGGCGCTTTATAACATTCCTAGTGTGTGATGTTATTATAAAGTAAAAGTCAGTCACATATGATGTGGAGACCCTGAAATGCGACCTCCTGAACAGAATTCCTCACGGAACCGGGTCACGCTGTGCTAGATTTCACGCTGTAATGCTGTCTGTCAACTAGTGCTGCGTCAGTTTAGAGTCACTGTTGCTGAATTACCGACTGACACAAAAACAACCCGAATTTTCTCTGAGCCTGACAGTCATGTGGACCGTTTTGTCGGCCAGGGCTTCCAGACATGTTCCGATTCGCCGCTGATTCTAACCTTACATCCCGTTCCACATTTTGTGAACTTGACAAATCAGCCCGAAGGCAGTGCAGACTGATATTAGCTAAATGGAGTGAACCACGTCTCTCAAACTTTGCATTTAGGTAGGAAATTGTCTTTAGAAGATGTTAAAACTTTTATTTAGCTTACTCACCTCAGACTGTAGCCCGTCATGGTGGGGGAGCAGAGTCGGTGGTCTGTATCTAAATCGCGGAAGAGCCACGGTGGGCACAACCTCCCTCTTGGAACGGAGACTGCAGAATCGCGGGTAAAATGCTGGTTGCAAACTACAGCACCAGGCGGGAGCTGAATCTTTTCCAGACACGCAACCACTGGCGCCTAATTTCTAAGTCCAGCGGAAAGGAGTGCAACCCGACAGAGCTCCGCAACCATACTACACTACACCATCTCACCATGCTAACACGATATGGAGCACTAAACCCGAACTACTTTCCTAATTACACTAACAGCCAAACAGTAACTAAACTACAATATCCAACAGCCAAGCTAACACTAAATAAGTATGTATAACACTAAAAGCTATGCTAAAGACTAGGATATGCTAATGCTATATGCTAATGCTGAACTACGGCTAGCTAGTGATGGGACGAACGACACTGGCGCGTCAGCACAGTGTCGACTGCACAAGAGTGAAACCCCGTATCGGTGCGTGTATCGCTTTAAGAAAATATCACGTGACCGACACAGGATTGTGTGTCGTTTGGATGCGCCGCGCCAAATTGTGTTTATAAGGAAGCAAACTGTATCGACATGTTGCGGATTTGTTGGTTAGAGTTTTGCTGTTTGCTGTTTGATTTTGGATTTTTCCTTACCTCACGCTCACTTCTCTCCGCTGACTTCATGGATCGTTCCAAGAAGTTTTCCCCAGTCTGGAATAATTTTGATCTTTTGACGCCAAAAAAGGTAAATTGTTTTCTCCATTTGGCAACGTTTACTGTTATTTCTGTATTGTAAATGTGTTTGTAGTCTTTCTCTGGTAAGAGGCTTAAATTGTTTTCAGATAAATTAACTATTTATTTTATTGTAGGTGAAGTGTCGGCTCTGCTCCACAGAGCTGTCTTACACAAATAAGAGCACTTCATCAATGCTGAGGCATTATAGAGCTCGGCATGGCAACGATGAATTGGTAGATACCCCAGGTATGTTGAAATTATCACCAAAAAATCTGAATTGTCAAAATTAGTCTATTACACACAAAAGGCTTTGTGTGACTCTGTAGTATTGCTTGTAAAATCCTTTTCATAAGCTTTTTAAAGCTTTTAAAAAAGTATTTCCTTTTGGCTTGCAGTTCCTAACAAGCAAGCAGTGGATGATGCTGTGGTTAACATGATCATCAAAGACTGCCAGCCACTCACCATTGTTGAAAATGAGGGATTCAGGGAGCTCCTGAAGCTTATTGCACCCTCATATGTTCTACCAAGCAGGAAGGTATGTTTAAGAAATGTTTGCTTTAATTAATCAACTACTTTCATGGTGTGTGTGTGTGTGTGTGTGTGTGTGTGTGTGTGTGTGTGTGTGTGTGTGTGTGTGTGTGTGTGTGTGTGTGTGTGTGTGTGTGTGTTTATGTAACATTGGTATTACAGTATTGGTATGTTTACTTGTAGGTCATCAAGGACTTGGTGAGCCAGAAATATGAAGAGGAAAAGGAGAAAACAAAAAAGGACCTCCAGAGCGTCATTGCTGTTAGTTTAACAGCTGATATGTGGACATCCATTAATATGGAGGCATATCTTGCCGTTACTTGCCACTATGTGGACAAAGAAAGCCATGAACTCTGTTCATCAGTCTTGGGAGTGCAGCATTTCCCTCAGAAACACACTGCAGAAAACATGGCCACAGTTAAAAGGAGCCTCATGGAGGAGTGGGGCATAGCAGGCAAAGTCAGGTGTCTTGTCACTGATGCAGCAGCAAACATGATTGCATGTGCTCGAATGCTGCAAGTACGGCAAACCATTTGCATTGCCCATTCCATAAATTTAATTGTAAGAAAATCATGTGATCAAATCTCAACACTAACAGAACTACGCAACAAAGCACGGCAAATTGTGACATACTTTCGATCAAGCACCATGGCCAAGGAAAAGCTCACTCAAATGCAGCAACAGCTGGGAACACCATTGCATAAATTAATAAATGAGGTGCCGACACGATGGAACAGCACCTACCACATGCTGGAGAGACTGACTGAGCAGAAGGAGGCAGTCTGGGTGTCACTGGCCTCATTAAAAACTGATCTCACTCCACTGACTCCAGAAGAATTTGAAATCATTGAAGAGATGCTCAGGGTGCTTGCTCCTTTTTACCAAGCCACAAGAGAACTCTCTGAGGAAAAAAGAGTCTCGGGGTCAAAGGTTATTCCATTGATGAGAATGATCCACATTGAGCTTCAACATCAATCTTCAACGGTGACAAAACCCACTGCTAAACAGCTGGCTGAAAATCTGTCAAAGCGGCTAACCGAGTCCATCTGCAACATGGAATCGCTCAGTGTGATGTCACTGGCAACATTGTTGGACCCCAGGTTTAAAACTGCTGGCTTTTTTAGTCCACTGAAAGCAACTGAAGCTGTCAAGAGACTGAAGTCAGAGTGTGCTGCTGAAATGAGGAGCCATGAGCCTGACCCAGCAGTAGAGGAGCCTAGCACTTCACGTGGATCAGAACACAGTTCAGGTATGAAAACACATTTCTTTGTGAATATTTGTTTATTTCTGCGGAAGTTTGTCATGTGATAGTAAACCAATGATTAACAGACTTATTTCCAATTTATTTGTTAGGACACAATCTCTGGAGGCACCTTGATATGGAGGTTGAGGAGAGCAGGATGACCTCTAATACTACAGCCAATTCCATAATTGAAGTCCAACGCTACCTGGCTGAAAGAAATGCACCGAGAACACAAGACCCATTACAATATTGGAAAAATAACCAGAATTTATATCCACACCTTTATCAACTCGCACTTCAATTCTTATGCACACCATCTTCATCTGTACCCTGTGAAAGAGTGTTTTCTAAGGCAGGGGAACTGGTGTCTAAGAGGAGAAATCGCCTTGGAGCAAACACACTGCACAAACTTTTGTTCCTCAATAAAAATGCATAAATGAATCCATATTTAGTCTTTTATTTTGTATGATCTAACACAGAGGTTAACACATTTACATAAGTTAAAACTTTTACTTCTGATTTTTATTAGACACATTCAGATTTAACATGCCAACTCATTGTAACATTTACACAAAGGTTATAAGCAAATGTTAAACTCCTTTCATAAACAACTTAACTTAAATTGAGTAAATTAAATTACATAATGATATATTTTGATTACAGAAAATTAAATCTTGCACACCTGGTGTGGGTTTGCAGCATGTAAGCTTTTCCATCTTATTTACCTGCAATGATTTTAGAAATACTGCAGGTGTCGCTATTGAGTGACCAACACAGTGTCAGTACAGTGCCGACACAGTTTGTCTAGTGTGTCAATACACTCCTTGAGGTATCATCATTCCATCACTACGGCTAGCCTCCTACACTCTCATGCAAATCCAACTCCCAACTCGCCACAAGGCGTGGCCGAGACTCCCGATGCTTTTATAACGTTGACACAGAGCTGCTACGTAGTACTCTACTGGATTACGTAGTATCTTACTCTTTAGCCATTGGCTAAAATTTATTCAAAATGAGTCAAATTCTATGTTTTAAGCTGAAGGTGGAGCTATACTGTGGTATTTAGGCAGAATTTTTAATTTTTTAAGAAAATGCACCAAAATGCTAAAATAATGAATACACACATTTAAAACACTATTAGACACTCATTTATACAGTTCATCAGCAAAAAAAAGTTAATTTAGACGTTACTTGCTCTTTAAAAAGTCACAACAGGGACAAACTTCATTTTTTTAAATCATCATTACCAATAATTATTTTTGTGAAATACTACAAAACAAAAGATGATAAAACGTTTTCTTTTCTTTGGGTACTTCAGATCCTTTTAAATGTGTTGCCAGCACATTGTCTATCAGATGCCGACATCTGTTCATAAAGCATGTTAAAAAGTGTATGTTTTAGTGACTAATATGATGTTTTACCACTTTTTCATGTGCTGGTTTTTATCGCAGCAATGTCATTTCAACCTTGTCAACCTGTATGTCTTACTTTTCATGCACAGGGTTTTTGTTTTTGAAACAGCATAATTTTTTGTCTCTTTTCCAGCGATGTCAAACGCATCGGAGTGTGTTTGATTGGCCACCAGAGGAGAATCATCAGCAGCATACAGTCTCTCCGACTGCAGCTTCACCACATCCAGCAGAGCGGCTTTCAAGTGTGAGACCATTTCACAAAGTCAAACTGTGTTTGCACACCGAGATAGACTTCCTCTGCATCATCATCCAATTAATTGCACAAACACCGGACTTTTGGGTGTTGCCAGTACCACATCCTGCTCTTGTGAGGGCAGTCCTGCTGCTAGACCCACATGTGGTCTAGTCAACACGCACATATCATCATATGTATCATCCTACAGACAGCCTCCACAACAACCAACCTCTGTCAGCATCGGCCAAACGCCGTCGTTTTAATATCTCAGCAAGTACTAGAATTCACTTGAATTTAGGAGCTCTTCTCTCTAGTGTCTATTCAAGTGTTCACCAATACCTCTTCTCTTTCCAAGTGACAATCTAACAGTTTCTATTGACTCTGAAGGGTATTAAGTCTGTTACCTCGTGACCAGGGAAGATGATCATGATGCATGGGATATCATGCAGTTTAATGTTTGACGCTGGTTTATCAAACAGTTCACCAAAAATCAAGAATAAAACTGATGAATCAAATTGTGTTTTTTGATTTGCAGACCAGTGAATGTCAAAAGATTTTTTTAGAAATGTATGTTGTCTTCTCATGAAGTCTTGTACAAGAAGTCTTGTGGAAGTTGTGTTTAATTCAATAAGTTTGTTCCTTAATAAACAACTATATTTTAATACTTAGTTTTCTCTCAAGTTTAAAGAACTCACATCATAATTTCTGTTTTTTCCTTACATCTGTTCTTATGGAGCTGTACCCAGGTACTGTGACATATACTGTTGTATATGATCTACAGTATTTAGGTTATGGACATGCAGTGCTGTGAAGATGATTGTGTAATTTGGACAATGTTTGAAAGCTCTGAAAATTCTGAAAAATGCACAATCATTTTAAAAACAAGGAAATTCAGAACTGAGAAGCAAAGAATAAGAAAACCTGAGACGCATTAAAACTTTTGCACAGCTCTTTATCATATATCTAGTTGAATTGGAAAATGACCAATCAGAGCACAGGCCTAGATTTTTGCCTAACAACACAACCACCAATCACAGCAGACTTTTCTTCCGGCCGATTTTGGGCACCCTTCTCCCCGGTGGTCGTCTTTACCTGTAGGGGGCAGACTGGCGCCAGCACAGCGGTCCCAATACCCGCTGCTCCAGCGGTCTCCCAGCAACACCGTGTAAATAATTGAGCTTTTGGCTAGCCCGTTGAAGAATATCGGAAAAATGAATGAAACACAGATTTAACTCTTTCATAAATGAACGAAGCGAAGACTGTGTGAAGTGCACCATCGGAGCAGGATACTACAGCGCAGTTACAGGTAAATTACTGCGGGGAGGATAATACGAGCTAACGTTAGCGATATAATGGCCATGCTAACACTCGCCACAACATGTCTGTATTTAGTTTCTTTCGTTGTTAGGATAACGGAGTAAAGCTGGTTATATCGAGCGTAACATTAACATTCATTTGATAGTTTTCTGACCAAATGAAACAAACTCGCATGAGGGTAAATGTTAGCATAAACGAGGTGAAGAGCGAGAGATTAAATAGCTGCTAGCTTGTATTAAACGTGTTCAAATCTGCTAAGAGCCTCCTGTTGGCTTAAACTAGGTTAGCTGCACAGAGCTAATGTTTTAGAACTTGGCTAAGAACAACCACGAACACTATTATTTTACGGATGATTGCCATTGTAGCTTTAATTGATGTAATCATTTAAGTTGATCGAGTGTCTAACTTTTTGGGCTCAGGCTGAATGCTTTATTATGAATCCAAGATGAGGTAAATATGCCAGCTCATCTATCACTTTCATTAATTAAATATGATCTAATTTCTAATTTTGGATTCCATTAATGCTAATTTTAACTGGTGCTCGGTCGTGATTTTTAATAAACATGTTTTAAATTTAAGGAAGATCTGTTATATTGAAATCTAATCTTTAATCAGTTTCACAATAAACTGTTAGGGATGTTTTAGGACACTTGGGATATTCCCGTTAGAAATGAAGTACAGTTAAATAGTTATTTTTAAAAACTCTTGAGAACAATTCCTAAAAATTGAGATGACCTGTGAAAATAATAGATACAGTTTAAGTGGCTGATCACTTTAATTTGATTTGTGATCCACCCTTTATTGAGCTGTGTAACCTGCTCAGATCATATCCTACATCTCACTGATTGATTTCTGGATCAGGTCCCTGACACCTGCAATGCTGATAGCATAAAGATGATACAGAAAGACAAGTGATGAGAAAAGAGTTTAGGAAACACTGCACAAGACTGTTTTTTTCCCCCTTATATTCTTAGGATACTAGCAGTGTTGTGTTTTTAATTACCCACTTTAACTCCCAATGCTTTTACATTTAGAGCAATTGTAGTTTAAAAGTACACTGTGATAGTCTAATATGGTTGCTTTGTGTCTTGAAGATTCCGCTCGGCTGATGGTTGCTGGCCAGCCAATGGGACTGTTTGACAAGTTAGTTGGGTGGCTTGGGTTAAAGAAGGAGGTGAATGTTCTGTGTCTTGGTCTGGACAACAGTGGGAAAACCACCATCATCAACAGACTCAAGCCTTCCAATGTAAGCATTCCAGTCTGTTAACATTACTGGTGCTGCTATTCTGTAACTTTAAAGGTAAAGACCCATTAGTCAACACACACTGGTGAAATTACATCTGCAATTCACCCATCCCTGTTGGGAGCAGTGAGCTGCAGCTGTGCCCGCGCTTGGGGACTATTTGGTAGTTTAATCCCCCCCAATCCAACTTCTTCAAACTGAGTGTCAAGCAGGGAGGCATTGGGACCCATTGTTAAAGTCTTTGGAATGATCCAACTGGATTTGAACCCCGATTTCCCTGTCCCAGGGCAAACACTACCACTAGACCACTGAGAAGGTCACTGTCTGCCATATGATGTACATTTAAAGCAGCAATCAGGAGATTTCCTATAGTCTGTCAAGCCATCCTATATATGTGAATAAATAGCCTGGCCATGATCCATTGACGGCTCTCAGTCATGGGACGGGTTTTACGGTGATTGCTGTAAAGTCTTTGACACAGCAAGTCTGACTCAGTGCAATTTGCTGGGTTCTTTATATAGGAAACTTTTAACTAATTGGCACAATGAACTGAATTCAATTGAAATTTTTTATTTTGTGAAGTATTTTGAGATGACTTGTTGTGATTTGCCACTATACAAATAAATAAAATGAACTGAATTGAATTGAATTGTCTTTCAAACTGTCTCCATGATATTGAATAACAAACAACGTGACAGACTCAACCCTACGGATGTCAGTCAACGAGGCAGTCCACCTTACTCCATCAAAGATGACGTATAAACCTCCTTTTTAAATAAACTTAAGTAACTCTATCTGTTCCTGACTCAAAGAAAAGCCCACGTCTAAATAGTCCAAAGTTAATGCCAAAACTGTTTCAGGTGAGCTGTCACCATCTTTGTATCAGTAACATCCCTCCCACCAACAGAGTGCTGTGATTGGCCCACCAAACCAATAGAGGGCTGTGATTAGTCTGCTAAAGATGTCAGTCAAAGGGACAGTCCACCATTAAATTGTGGGAGAAGACACAAAACATTAAAAAAAAAACATACATAATTTTTCCAAAAACATAAACAAGCTGTGATTGGCCAGTCACTGTACTGTCTGGTGCTGTGGAGGTTCCAGTGGAGCGTGACTACACCTGCATGCAAAGCAAAATCATTTTGGCTTTGGCAAATAACGGTCTAGATTCTAGGCTAGTGTTTCCCCCCTCTCAGGAATTACGTTAGATTATTTAGAAATCCATAAAAAGCCATACGCTCTCCCCGTAGAGCCCCATGCATTTTAACTTGAGCACTGCTCAACATTAGCCAATAGGGTACAAATGCGTTTGCAGAAGTACCTAGTCTGATGCACAGTTGACAAGATTTCTCAAGGACAAAAAGTCTTTGTTGGACAATGTGTTTTACCTCTGTTGGCCAGCTAGAGGTGCATGTTCACAATCCAAAGGTGTTGCTTCCAGCTGTAATCACGGAAGCAGGATTTGGACCTGAGCTTCACTGGTCACATTGGGGCTATAACAAGATCAGCGTTTTAACATCTCCATCAAATAGCAAGACTCAGAGGTCTCATATCCAGACAAGACCTGGAAAACTCATTCATGTGTTCATCTCCAGCAGGCTGGACAAGAACCAAGAGAACCAAGCACATCACTCCTGTTCTTAAGTCTTCACACTGGTTACTAGTAAAGTACAGAATCAATTTCAAAGTACTTCTACTAGTTTATAAATCACTCAATGGCATGGGGCCAAAATACATGTCAGATCTCCTTCTTCAGCAGGGCTCTGAGATCCTTAGGAAGCAGTCAGCTGGTAGAACCCGGGTCAGAACCAAACAGGGTGAAGCTGCTTTTAGCTACTACGCTGCACACAGATGGAATCAGCTTCCTCGTGACCTCAAATGTGTCCCAACTCTAGAAACTTTTAAATCAATATAGAAAACATTCATGTATTCATCAGCTGTTGAGTACTTCACCATCTGCACTGGAACTGCTCACACTTAAACTTTTGAAATCTAAATGTAATTTGTGTATACATTAATTATGCTGTTACATTGACTTTAATGTTCCTGCTATTCTTGCTAATATGAAAGCACATTGAATTGCCTCTGTGTATGAAATGTCATATAAATAATGCTGCCTTGCCTTAAGGTGCAACTCATTTTCCCCACCACTAGATGGTGCTATCTGACAAAAAAGTCCAGATTTCTGCTTTAACAAAAGAAAACTACATCTCTTATAGAAAGAAATGCTGCTTTTTTCTTAAGCGATCACTGGAACTATATTCTTTTTTTTCAGGCTCAGGTACAAGACATTGTTCCAACTATTGGCTTCAGCATAGAGAAGTTCAAGACGTCCAGGTAGCTTATCATAAAAAATCACTGAAAGAAATCTAATAAAATAAAAATTGTATTAAAATGACAAGAGTCTGTTTTTTTCCTCCCCTTCAGTCTTTCCTTTACAGTCTTTGACATGTCTGGTCAAGGCAGATACAGAAATCTTTGGGAGCATTACTACAAGTGAGAGCATGGAAGTGCAAAAAATAAAATACTCTCTTCTCTCTTGGCAAATTCTGATTATAATTTCACCTCTAATCTCTTCTCAGGGATGGTCAGGCCATCATTTTTGTCATTGATAGTGCAGACCAGCTGAGGATGGTTGTGGCCAAGGAAGAGCTGGAGACATTACTAAACCACCCTGGTGAGTTCGGTTTTCACGACCTGGTGACCCCTGCTCTTATTAGACTAGACAGCGTGTCATATTAATGTATTTTATAATACTTTATAATTGTGTAAAATGTATGCTTTTCAGGCTGGTTATTTGTACATCAGTTGTTTGAAGAAAATATCACTACATGCATACTGAATTCAGAATTATAATAAACACTATAGAAATATGTGTGTGTGGATTAAAATCTTTCTCCAGCGTGTTCCTAATTAATGAACTTGCAAAATTTTTCTAATAATAAAAATGATTTCAATGCTGCAGACATTAAACATCGGCGAATCCCCATCCTGTTCTTTGCCAACAAGATGGATGTCAGAGATGCTCTGTCTTCTGTCAGGGTCTCGCAGCTGCTCTGCTTGGACAACATCAAAGACAAACCCTGGCACATCTGGTATGATCTTGTACAAATATATGTGATGTAGGGCTGGGCAATAAATCGAAAATGTATCGTTATCAAAATGTCTGACTTATCGAGATAATTTTTCCCATGTCAATAAATTAGATAATAAAAAATGAAAAGATGTGTGTAGGTTGGCAATGTTCCTGTCCCTTTAAGAAGCTGTACCACCATGACTCGTGTAAAAATGTGACTCAACATAATACGCGTGACAGCCCCATCTAGTGGACAACGTTGTTTCTGCGCATACCTGTAGTTGTCGTCCATTTATGTTATCAAGGTGAAATCCCCAATATCGTGATATTGATTTTAGGCCATGTCGCCCAGCCCTAATGGGATGTAAGCAAGACGTCCTTTTTCCCAGCTCAGCGCGATTCACTGAGGTGTTGAAGAAAATCTTTCTGCTGTTACCAAGAGATGGGGTCGTAATAAGTTATGTGCAAATGCTGCCTCAGATATAACGTCTATCAACAAAATACTCCTTGTTTATTTGTGCACTGGGATGTGTTTGTATTTTTCAGTGCTACTGATGCTCTGAAAGGAGATGGTTTACAGGACGGAGTTGAATGGTTACAAGGTATGTGACTTAGCTTAGCACTCGTTTCAGTCCGTTTGGGTTTGAGCTGCATTTGTACACTTGGCTGTGTACAAGTTATAAATATTTACTATCCCACTTACTGATGGCTTCCTGGGAGAAATGGTGAAAGTTCTACTGATGAGCAGAAGGCTGTCAGAGCACAGCCAAGACCAAAGTACAGGTGCTGTCTGATGTTCGTCTCCAAAAGGTCACAGTGGCTCATGCTAATTTTGTGTTATGAAAAGAAAAAATGAAATTTGCAACGATTCACAAATTTGCTGCGCCAATCAGTCACGCTTTATTTATGAAGCACTTTTCATACCAAAGGCAGCTCTGTGCTGTACAGAAAATAAAACAACCACACTGGGATTTCTATAACCCCCCTCCCTCTCACCCACACTCACATGCACACACACTTTAAAATGCAAGGACAATGTTGCTAAATGAAAGCTATATCTATGGGCTGAGCACAGGTCAGAAGGTATGGCTGAAAAGAGTCAGTGAGATATCACTGAAAGTGTGATACTCTACAATCCAGCTGACTAACACTGCCACTTTTGAACCTTTTTAAGGCATAAAATACACCCCATAATAACTTCCAGCAGCACACAGGCCTCTACACCTCCACCTGGATTTACATTTTCTCATAACAATAGGTCATCTATCCATTATTGTCTGCTTATCCAGAGTCGGGTCAGGGGGGCAGCAGCCTAAGCCGAGAGGCCAGACTGCCCTCTCTGCAGCCACTTGGGCCAGCTCCTCCAGGGGAATTCCAAGGCATTCCCCGTCAGCCGAGAGGCATCCTGACTAGATGCTCGAGCCACTTCAACTGGCTTCTCTTGATGTGGAGGAGCAGCGAGTCTACTCCGAGCCCCTCCCAGATGACCGAGCTTCTCACCCTATCTCTAAGGGAGAGCCCAGACACCCTGTGGAGAAAACTCATTTTGGCCGCTTGTATCTGCGATCTCGTTCTTTCGGTCACTACCCAAAGCTCGTGGCCAGGTGAGGGTAGGAACGTAGACTGACCGGAACAACGCCAGCATCACTGCAGACGCAGCACCAATCCACCTATTGATCTTGCGCTCCAGGTTTCCCTCACTCGTGAACAAGACCCCGAGATACTTAAACTCCTCCACTTGGGGCAGGACCTCATCCCCGACCCGGAGAAGGCATTCTACCCTTTTCCAAATCAAGACCATGGTCTCAGATTTAGAGGAGCTGATTCTCATCCCAGCTGCTTCACACTCGGCTGTGAACTGCTTCAGCAAAAGCTGGAGATCACGTTCTGATGACGCCAACAGAACCACATCATCTGCAGGAAGCAGAGACCTGATCCCCAGGCCACCAAAACCGATCCCCTCAACACCTTGGCTGTGCCTAGAAATCCTGTCCATAAATGTTATAAACAGAATTGGTGACAAAGTGCAGCCTTGGAGTCCAACTCTCACCAGGAACGAGCTCGTCTTACTGCCGGCATGGCGGACCAAGCTCTGACACCGGTCATACGGGGACCTAGCAGCCCGTATCAGAGGGCTTGGTACCCCATACTCCCAGAGTACCATCCACAGGGTCCCCCGAGGGATGTAGTCCAACAGCATACCATTTTACCATAAAAATGATACTAACCTAAGAAATGCATTACTGTGTTGAATGAAACAGCCACAGTAGGGAGCTGACAATAATATTTATCTAGACCAGGGGTGTCAAACTCATCTATCTCCTAAACCTATCTCCAGCGGTCAATGGGCAATCAGGTGGGGTACACCCTGGACAGAGAGCCAGTCCATCGCAGGGCAACACAGAGACAAACAGGGCAAACAATCTCACACACACACACACACACACCTAAGGACAATTTAGACAGACCAGTTAACCTAACAGTCATGTTTTTGGACTGTGGGAGGAAGCCGGAGTACCCGGAGAGAACCCACGCATGCACAGGGAGAACATGCAAACTCCATGCAGAAAGACCCCAGGCTGGGAAGCGAACCCAGGACCTTCTTGCTGCCAGGCAACAGCTCTAACCACTGCACCACTGTGCAGCAGCCCTAATATAGTTTTATCTTAAATGAAAATGTAATATCTCCCCTGTTAACTTTCATGTTTTGGAGCAGAAAAAGAGCATAAAACCCAAATATTTAAAGCTCAGTTTTCTCCACTGATTTACTGTGATGCTCACCTGTTCCAGCCAGATACCTGCATCATGGGGTTGAGGAGCTCTGAGCTGAGGAGGAGACTCCTGTTGTTTTGTTCATCTTCATCATAATAATGACAACATTAGATGACAACAGGTGCTCACATAGGTTTGTGCTGATGAACATGTCTGAGCAGCTTGACCACGTTGTTGTGTGTCGGGGAGGAAACACAACAGCAGCCACAGAGTCATGCTGGTTTGAGTGTGTCGCTGCTCGCTGGAGTTGTATCAGCTCTGTCTGGAAGTTAGTTGGAAAACTTTCTCTTTCAGTTGTGAACACATTACTGAACGGTTAAAATCTCAGTTTCTGGGCTTCAACGTCGGCAAATAGCTTAGCAAACTCTGGGCTTGGTGAGAGGAGTGTTTAGTTTGTCCGAGACAGCGGAGCTGCAGACACCGACAGCAGACGCTGGAAAAAACACAAAGGAGGGGCGCTTCAGCTCCGCGCTAACGCCGCAAAGCATCATGGGAGTTGTAGTCTTTGCGGTAAAATTGGTCAGCAGGTCAGTTTTAATATATTTTTGATATTTATCTCGCGGGCCACATAAAAATGCTCCGCGGGGCCTTGTGTCTGACACATGTGATCTAGATTCTAATGAGGCAGAACAGGAGTGTACACCATGCTTCTGATCATAGTTTGCTTCTGTTTATTTGGCTCAGAAACTGAAGATAAACAACAAGGTTCTTCAGCTGATTATAGGAGGAACATTTGGACAGTCCTGGTATTTATTTTTTTGTTTAACAGCTCAGACTGTCAGAATTTTCTGAGCAGCTGTTCATACGTCAAATTAGGCGCCAGCCCTGCTGCTCAGGTCTGTGGCTGCATCAGTAAAGGCTTGTGGTGAGTTGAAGGTGATGTTTGCGTATTATTAGTTATTACGCAGTCAGATATAGAGTAAAATATTGAACGTATGCTGTGCACATCACCCACCGATGCCAGAGTTCACATCAAGGTCATTTATAGTTGGGAAATGATGGAATTATTGCTGTTTTGGTCAAATCTTTCATTACCTGTTAGCAGTGTGAGTTAGTAGTCTTCCATACCATCCATTCATTTCTACCTTCTTTTTTAACAACGCTTTCATTCCATAGAGCAAATTATACAGTGAGTACTGGCTGTTACATAAGTGTTGTGCTTTTTATTGTAACTATAGAAACTGACCTGGGTTGTTGTGCTGTGTCTGAGCTAGAGCTCCTCCTGTGTCAGACTAACAGTGAAGAAATAACTGCTTTAGATGATCAAAAATGAAAGTTAGACCTCCTGAAATGTAACTTCATGTTAACTATGGACATGAAGGTAAACCATCCATAGAAATCTTACTGTTAATCTGTGTGTGTTCCTTTTATTCTATTACACCATGTTTTAGTTGAGGAACTGCTTTTCTCCTGCTCATATCCAGATCAAATCAAAACAATGAGGACATGAGACCATGAGGGGCCTCCAGCTGGAGTCGAGAACAACATTCAAAGAGAAGGTCAACGGGTTTCCAGAGGGACTGCAACAGATAAATGTTTCTGACGGGACATTTAAATCAATCTTGAATGTGTCTGAGTTCAAAACTATGATCTAACTCTGTCGCCTAGAGGGGAAAAATAACATTTGGATGCTTTAACATTTCTTTCACTTTTCACAAGTTATATTGTTATATAAGTTATTATAGTATCTGCACTTTTTATTATGATTCAATGTTAGTTTGAAACTGGGAATTTTTATTTATTTCCTTTAATATCCCCTTTGAGCAACTTACCAAATGTTATAGTGTAAGCTCATGACTCCCACACCTGTTGTACCAATGCAGATGCTCTAACCTTGGACTTTTTAAGGACAGGTGACTATTTCTATAGCATTTTAAATATATAGAGTACCAAATGTTCTTTTGCTGTCTGTTATTTATAAATTTAAAGCTTTTGTAGATTCATTAAACAAACCTTTCAGTCAACTTTTACATGCAAATGGAACATTTATAGGCTTTTTGTTTTGATAAAGTATCTGTTAATAATTCCAGTCAACGGCCTTTCCCGGGTTGGTAGAGAGCTACGTGTTAATGTTGTCACTGCAGCTGATGAAAGAATAAATACGTGACATTGTATTTTTTTAGTCCCATTTACAGTGAAGCTAAGATTGAAACGGCTTTAGGCGTGATGTTGACACAACGTTGCACATGTTTTTACTTGAGGCTAAAACACTAGCTAGTCTAGCTGCAACAGGCTACGGCGACTGTCATTAACGAGGTAGGATATAAAGTTTGTTAATAAAACTACAAAGATACATTTATAGTGTTCTTTGTCTGCCTCATTTAATCACTAAAGGTCAAACAGAATGGTGTTTTTTCTTAAATCCATTTCCTCTCATTGAGCGAATCAAAGAGAAACAGCACAGCATCCACTTAGTCTACACAAATGTGATTATTATCCCAGTCTTTGATGTTTTCTGACTTCTGACTTAAAGCTTGCATTCAGAAATGGTTTGTGTGATTGGGTCTACAAAATCTACATTTTTATTAGTGTTTTTGAACAGTTTTATGGCGTTTTTCTTTCTTACACAATATCAGTGATATTTCTGAAGGTTCTCCTGTGAAGAAAAATGTGACCCTTTTTTAGGCTCAACGTTCTAAAAGTGCAACACAAACTTTTCTGGTAAACAATCTTCCTTCTCTGTGTTTTGTAACTGGTCTTTTGCTTTTCTTTTTCAGAGTTTAGTGTCTTAAAGTGAATAAAGAATGTAATGAGAGGGATTTAGATTTATTTAAGAAAAAGAGGCAAAAAATACTAGATTATTTAATTAAAAAGTTTCTGTTGATATGCATTTTCTGTTTATTATTTTTATTTTGTTTTCTTCCCTCTTTTTGAATGAACTAAATATAAAAAAATTTAATTGTGTGTGTGTGTGTGTGTGTGTGTGTGTGTGTGTGTGTGTGTGTGTGTGTGTGTGTGTGTGTGTGTGTGTGTGTCACAGACAGACAGGGAGAAAGACAGATTGGGGGAGAAAGACAGGCAGACGACAGAGATTATTCCCTTATTCTATAGAAAAACTCCGAGGTTTATAAATCAGCACATAAGTCATTTTAAGGTAAGTTATTACCAACATTGGTGGATTAACATTAAGTGTATGTTAATTATGCTGGTTAGGGTTCTCAGTCATCCAGGTCATGGTAATCCAAAAGGGTTCAAATGAAGACAACTGGAGTTCTTTGGTTTCTTGAAGACGTTTTGCTTCTCATCCAAGGAGCGTTGACAATTCTAACTGGAATATGGGAGAGTCAAGTTTATAAACTGTAGCTGTCTATTGTTATTTAACGAGCTGAAACTACTCTGGGTACCCCTCCTCTCCATCCCCTGATGAGTCATTAGCCTCTATTGATTCACACGACTCCCTCTCTCAATAGAGGCTAATGAATCATCAGGGGATGGAGAGGAGGGGTACCCAGAGTAGATGTTGACAAACAAGTCTACCTGGTAAAGTAGGTCTGCTTTTTGGGAGTTTTTGTGGAGCTTCTTCCTTCTAACATGGACCCTTTTTCTGACTTTGCATAGAGGCAGAAATCTGGCTGTTGGCCTACGTTTTCTGCCAGGGCTACACCACCTCTCCTTAAATTATTTAACAAAAGAAAGGAAAACAAAAAGCAAGATTTTGGTAATTTCTTTGGTAACTGGATTGTTAAATTTTCTTTAAACCTGGAGCTGAGAGCTCCAACAGTACCTGACATGTGTTTCTAATGAATGCTGTAACACTTTCTTTGTTCTAGATGCAATTATCTCTAAATGTCAAACCAGAAATCTTAACTAATAGTTAGAAAATCACTTTAAAATATTATATCAACTGATTATTTTTTCTAATGAGAAACAGGCTAACCTAGCTGTTTTTATCATGAGCTAGCTAGTAGCATTGTCTGTTTAAAGGCCTTTCATAATAAATTCTAGAAGAAACTAATAATTTGTAACTATTAAAAGACACTTCACGTCTAAACTTTTAGAAATAACTTTTTACTCACTATTTTATTTAATGGAAGAGAAGAAGTCCAGTTACATCTGATCAGGTCACAGTCAGGGCCAGATTAACACTTTGTTGTACCCTGGGCAACAATATTCAAGGGCCCCATCATCACGACCCAAGGATCACCATTATATGGTCACATACAGATTTTACTGTAATATGCATTAAATATACTCAGTACTTGAATGCCTGACATCACGTAACCCACTCAGGGTAACCTTTGACCCACCTCGTGTGGACTGACCAATGAGGAGAGGGTCTTAACTTGAGGCCCTCTCTTCATTGGTCCGTCTGCATGAGACTGACTCTCAACTGACGTTAAAAGTCATAGGCAGCGAAGCGTCTCTGTGCAGCGCAAAAGCCCGGGTGGACAGTTTGTTTAATGTAGGGTGACCATATTTCCATTTCTAAAAATGAGGACGGGGCCTCTGATGCCTATAGTTCCTATGATGTCACACTATGGCAACGCCACACAAGCCACGTTGGGACCCATTTTTTTGTAAGAACTAAATTAATATCAGATTCTGCCAATAAAAGGGCTCTAAAACAATTCATATGTAAATATTTAGCATATTTATAGCAAAATCTAATTTTTCTGCTTTAGTGCTGCAACAAGGTTTTATTAATAATAAATTATTATACCTTTTGTTTTACTACAGCATCGGTAAGCTTCCTGTGCAGAGATTATTAAGGATGCTTGTTTCAGTTGTGAGATTAGACGATAGGAACAATGAAAAAATAAGTTGTCACACACTCCATGCAAACTTTCAGAGAATCCACAAATAGTGGCTTTCAAATGGTTTTGTTACTTTTTGCAAGTTTAGAAAAGAAGCAGATGAGACAGCATGTCTGATAATTTAGTTTTTCATCTGATAATATTAGAACATGTCAGTAGTGTCTGAGGGGCTTTTACAAACACTATAACTAATACTACTGGAGAGGGTTTGGATTACACAGAGGCTTCTGGGAGTCCAGTTATGGGGGTGGGGGTGGGGGGTTCTGTTTTGCCTTGGCCCCCAAAAGACCTTGAAACGGCCCTGGGTGTGGGACTGAGTTTTCAATTCAATTGAAATTCAAAAATACTTTATTAATCCGAGAGGGAAATTGATTGCTGTAGTAGCTCAGAATAATAATAATAATCAAGTCATCAAAGAGTTATTGTATATTACAATGGCTGTTGGCAGGAAGGATCTCCAGTAGCGGTCAGTGTTGCAGCGAAATTGAAGAAGCCTCTGACTGAAGACACTCTTCTGCTGTCGGACAGACTAATGATTTCTTTCCAGATGTTAAGAAATGCTCTTCATTGCTATCAGGCTGTGGTGATGGAGGAAAGGAGGAAATATTTCTCAGATATCATTCAGTCTGCCTGCAGTAAGCCACGTGTTCTTTTTAATGTGTTAGATAACGATCTCAATGTCGACCAACCTGCAGAATGTGAGATCTCCCAGGGGCTGTGTGAATCATTTTTGACATTTTTTATCGATAAAATAGTGAGCATTAGAGCTCAGATACCGGCATGTCCTCTCCAGGGTTCTGCAGGATGCTGCCCTTCAACTTTTTGTCAATTTGAACCTCTGACACTGGATTGCCTGTGGGAGATCGTGGAACCCTTAAAACCCTCAGGTTCTCCTACTGATGTGATTCCTCCCCGCCTCTTTAAGGAGGTTTTTTCCTCCGTGGGTCCTTGGGTTCTTAACATGATTAATAGTAGTCTTTCATCTGGTGTAGTTCCAGAATCTTGGAAGCCTTCCCGCAGTCCCACCCAGGCTGGGATAGGAGACAGAGTTGAGTTGCCATAACGACGGCACATTCCACATATCTTCTGAGGGGGGAGTTTTCGTTGGAGCCTTGCTGGCTCAAGGTCACCAGATTCCAATTAGAAATCTGAGACAACAAGGAGGCATACAGGATCATTTCCTCTCTGTCTTAAAGTTCCTTGGTCCTCAACCTCTCATAATCCCAATAATGGACATCAATCTATCCCAATCCGTGCTGATTCGTCCACTCTATCCTTGATGGCATCCATCTTTTGTGCCAATGAATGAATCTCGGCCAAAGTTCCAATCTTACGATTCATCTCGACAATTATGTGAGTCTGTGAATTCACAGCACTGTGCAAACCATCTCTGAGCTCCGGGAGCAGGCCAATATTCCTCGACAGCTCGTTAATTTTCCGGTAAGCCAGGAAGCCTCCAATGCCAATGAGCAGGAAACCTGACACCAACACCACGAATATCCACACGTCTTCAGAGTCCTCCACAGACAGCTGAGATAAACAAATCACGTTCCACTGTTTCCAGGAGTCCATGATGTGTCCAACTGGGTCTGTCCAGGAGGGGCATCCGGGAGCCCATTCTCCCGTTCTCATTGTTGAAAAAATTGTATCAATCGCGTTGAGTGACCAACTGACGAGGTCCATTTTAGTGATTTCAGTTTCCAGAAAAAATGCAGAAGCAGCTGTACACCCAGCACACAGAGACAGACAAAGGGTCTTGAGGATAAGATATGGAGGAGAGGAGGAAAAAAGCGTCTGCACCCTCCGAGAGCCGGAAGAAGAAAGCACCCACTAGTTGGGTAGATTTTCACCCAACATTTGGTCAAAACTACCAAACCTGTGACCCAACAGAACTAGTCAAGCCTGGGAGTTAGAAAAAGAGCTCGGCACATTGGCAAACCAACTCCTGGGTCAAATCTTTTGAACCAGTAGTGGTTAACCCAGCAGTTGTGTTATGAAAATAACTCAGTATTTTTTAATGCATACTGAATTATTCTTTGAGAAATCCTTGGCTCCTTGGTTGTTTGTATCATATGGAAATGTGTCTCCTCTATTGCTCTCCCTCTTTTTTTACTTCTTCTTCACTGACTCTTTCTCACACGTCTTGTTCGCTGCCAGCAACAGCTGCTCATTAAACCTGCAGTTGGTGGGCTTTGAACAACTTATTTGGAAATTATTTAACATCTAAATTATGACTTATTATGAAATTATGATGCTGAACTTTTTTCATTACAGTTTATAAATGCTGAAAATATAACAATGTTCACTACATGATTAGTATAAACCAGTTTTGTGATGTTAAGCATCAACATTTGGCCTAAAAGGGTCTTGAGGTTGGGCACCAACCATCTGTCCAACATGTAGTTAAAAAGCTTCCCAGCTGTCTGCTGGTTGTTTTATATTTTTGGCATCGATATTTTGCAGGCATTTTTTTACATGTCAAACAAAATCAGTCAATTCAGTTTTAATTTAAACTTGTAGCATGGCCTACAAATTTCTCCTTATTGTTTATGTTAGTTTTCATGTATGCAAAAACAAACCTGGTTGTACATGAAAATAACATTCAATTGATTAATTCTGCCATCAGTTAACTTTGATTCATTATAAGAAACATGGCGTTTTCTTTAACCCATTTGTGCCCATTTTTTTTTCAGAGTTGCAATATATCATTTTATCAGTTAAGTCCCTCTGAATCATGTAATATATATATTTTTTTCAATTATGTACTTTTTTGGGGAAGAAAGTTGCATATTTATGACTGGCAACTATTGTTGCCAGTGGTCACACAGCTTGTCAGTGGGTGAAATGTCACCTAATAATAGGAATAGAGAAGTAATGATAATATCGTTATAACTAGGGCCGACCCTGGGGCATTATTTTCACTGGGCAAAACTTTTCCTAGCCCCCCCCCCCCCCCCCCCCCCCACACACACACACACACACACCCGTGACCTCACCCATGCATCCCACAAACAGGACACTGCTCTGTTATTCTGGCGCACCTCACTGCAGCAATACCTCTCCCAATGGCTGTTCATGGCCCAGCCCTGGCAATAACAAAGTAATAGCCTAATAGTATTGTCATAAAAATAAGAAAGGACTCAGGTTCCCCTGTATGAAATTCAAAACAAGACACAATTTGAACTGTTTCCTTTATTGACTTTTTTCAAACTCAAAATCACAACAAACATGTCTTTTTAGAACATCTAACACATATTTATGTATATGACATAGTTCCCACACAATCCATCATTTGGTATGGATGTACTACTCAGTGTGGTACTTTTTGAAGCACTCCACATGTAGTGGCACATCACATTTGTTGTACGCACAGTTCTTGCACCACTTGTAACTGCTACCAATGTTGCTGGGCCAGTGGTTCAAGCTGTCAAACCTGGTGGCATCAGTTATCGCCACCGCCATTGCAGATTTTCTGCCTTGCCTACTTGGCTTTGTTCCATGGTGCTGAAGGAGGGTCTGGGCTACCAGCCTCTGGAATGAGAGGAGATCCATCTGCCCATTTTTCCAGGACCTAAATCAATGTCAAAACATGCTATTACTCAATCTTCAAATCATCCCTTATACATTGTCATGTTCCATATGTGGAACGTTCTGTAAAAGCAATATCACACTTGAGTTTGTGATGATAGATATCACCACCGGGTGGGTGGGGGTGGGGGGTTGCATATTTGTGTGTGTACTGGTTATGCAAGCTCTTGTGTGCAAAGAAAAGTGTACCCCCAGCTGCACATCAACATCTTCAGTAGCTTTTCAACTAGCTAGCTATCATTAGACTGTGAGACACAAGCTAATGTTTGCTAGTAAGAAAATGATGTATGGTAATGTATAAAAATCCTATACACACAGGCCTTGAATACCTGTGAAGTTATTTAGCTTGGAAAAGTATTCTAAGAGGACTAAAATGAGCCATTGTACATTATTCTAATATTTTAAATAATTAAATTAGGAGCAATCCTGCAGAGAGTTTTCCTTTAGTTAGCAACATGCTTTGTGCCCACTGGCAACTATTGTTGCCACTCACAGAAATAAGCCTATTAAGAAAGAATATTTATCTTTGTTATAATTTTTGGATGGAGGTTACTCTAGAGACTTGAATGAGTAAATTATTACAAATGTATTTTGGGGCAGTTCATCAAAAATGTCTAAAAATTACCTGTTTCCAGGATGATTTGAAGTCGCCATGTCTTCAGCGGGAAGGAGCAGGAAGCAGATGATGTCATACGACAGGAAGCACTAGGAAACAAATTTGTTTTAAACAAAACTTTTGTCTAAGTTGTTTACTAGCAAATAAGTGGAAAATGTTGGATTAGTAACACTGTAATTTTTTATTGTGAGTCAAAAATGACAGTGATACACTTTGGCAACAATAGTTGCCAGTGGGGCTAAACGGGTTAATGAACATTTAATAATAGTACCATTAAAAACATACAAATTCTAACTAGTTGCAAAGACCAGCTAATGAAAACATTTGAAAAGTGTTGACGCAGAAATGGCTCTGTCCATGGTGCTGAAAAAAATATTCTGTTTCACCGTCAGAGGACGCTGCGCGTGTTTAACGTAAATCTGTCGCCTAAACATGTAACTTCTCTCCATGAAACTACGTCTTTAAGTTCTGCGCCCGCGTATGTGTGTGTGTGTGTGTGTGTGTGTGTGTGTGTGTGTGTGTGTGTTGGCATTTCTAAAAAGTCAGGTTGTATCATTAAATCACCCTGCATGGTCTTCAGGAGCCAACCTAATTGGATGTCTGCCAGTTTTGACAAGCGCAGACCAGATAAAGCGACTTGAGGCAGAAGTGGCTATTAAGTAGAGAGAGCTTACTAAAATCTGTCCTGAAGGGGAGTGGCAGACACACTCAAATGTCTCCTAATGACTTAAACGTGGAGCATCTTTTAGCTTCCAATATCTTTTTTTATTTTAGAGAAGCAGAAAACGTGACTGTTTCTCCTTGTAGGACTTAAAATTGGAAAAACGTTATGTTGCTCGTTGGAGTAAAGTTAAAAAGCCAGCTGGGGATGACGGGCCACGGGAGATCTGCACTCCGTTTCTATACGCAGAGTTTGGAAAAGCAGCAGTTTCACAAGACATAAAAAACTTTAATTTTCAGCCTGGTCAGAAACGAATGAACGGGTTGGAACAGAGCAGGAAGACCCTTATTGGGTGGATACATCTCCCCACCCACTTGTCAGATCAGCCGGAAACATCGTGACGGTTTTATTTATTTATATATATTTTTCCAAACAAGGTGCTCATTAGAGGGGACGGTCTATTTCTCTGACGCGTGTCTTGCTCCTCTGACGGCATCTGCCCCTTTATAAGCTTCAGTAAGTCACACAAGAGACCCCCGCCCGCGTTTCACCCCTCTGCTCCTTACGGCGCAAACAGGAACGAGGATTTTCACCAACTTTTAACTGATATGCGCACTTTTTCCTTCAGGTGTCCCGACACATGACTCTACGAACACTGCAGGTAAACTGTGCGTGTGTGTCCAAGTTTTGATAGATAGATAGATAGATAGATAGATAGATAGATAGATAGATAGATAGATAGATAGATAGATAGATAGATAGATAGATAGATAGATAGATAGATAGATAGATAGATAGATGGATAGATGATAGATAGATAGATAGATAGATAGAGGTACATCTGTGTAATGTGCGTTTTAGTTGTTTCCGTGCGTAATTACGCACGAGCCTCATTTGGAACACGAAATTAACCAAGATGCACATCCATCCTTCACAATCCCGAGCTTCCTTAAATATTTATGTATTTGATGATCATGTGGAACCAATTCTACCAAAAGTCAAACGTGATTTTTCAGGACAAATATTTGTGTCAAATGATGTTAAAATTTTAAAACTTTAAATGTTCCAAGTTCGAAAAAAATGAAATGTTTCGTGATCATTCGGTTATTTTATTATATGTAATTAGTACAAGTTTATGCAACCCCCTTTTTTATTTTATGTTGATTATAAATTTCCAACATCTGTTCATCTGGGTAAAGAGAAATCCCTTCATGTGAAAGGTGTCCAAATACCAAATATTAAATGATACATTAACTAATGAAAAAACAAAGTTTTTTTTCTTGTGCCTTTTCAGGTCTTCATGCCTTCCAGCCCCTAGCAGAGGACCGCTGCGAGAATGGCCATCCATGCAGAGGGGCTTGTGGCTATCGCGGTCTTCTACTTGCTGATCCTGTTCGTGGGGATCTGGGCGGCATGGAAGAACAAGCACTCCGGGGAGGCGGAGGGCACCGACCGCAGCGAAACCATCATGGTTGGAGGGAGAGACATTGGATTGTTTGTGGGCGGATTTACAATGACGGGTAAAGTTTGCATGAACAATTTAACAAAACAGTTTTAATGTATTTAACAAAAACACGTGTCACACCATATTTTAATTGGAGTTAATTGACATGATGTGCTGTTAGAGTTTCACCAGCGCCACTCTTGGAGAAGTTTTTAAAACATTCTTTGTGTTGAGTGAAATCATTTAACTAAAATACGTGCCAACGTTTTCCTGATGGGCGCGCATCGGTTCATGTGTGTGCGTATTTGCAGCGACCTGGGTTGGAGGCGGATACATCAATGGAACCGCTGAGTACGTTTATCTTCCGGATCATGGTCTAGCTTGGGCTCAAGCCCCTTTCGGATACGCCCTCAGTCTGGTTGTTGGTGAGTACATGATGTTCAACATAATGTACAGATGTTATCGGGCAGCAGCAGGCAGTGGCGACCTCAAAGGGTGGCCAGGGGTGGCCATGGCTAGAAAATTGCTGGCCGCCAGAAAAAAACTGTGTTACAAAGATCATATTAATGTTTACTCAAATTGCAAATGCATCTTATATTTCAAGACATAAATATGAAACACAATTAAAAAAAATAAGTTATACTAAACCAGTAAAGAAATAATCAGAACAAAAACATTAAATATATTTCTGTTACTCACCATAAAAAAAGCTTTATCTCCATAGTTTTTTTGTGGAGGCAACAACAGGTGAATTAAACTAAAAAAGAAAATTTAAAAATAAGGTTTAAAATAACTGAAATGTATTTTTCTGAAATGTTTGTGTTTCTTAAATTTGTATTTAAGTGGTTTGGATACTGTTTAAAAAAAGGCATGCAATGCAGCGCCACAGGCCAAACTCTCCCAGAGTTACCAAATGGACCAATTTGGTGTGCCATCTCAAAATATTCTCTGGCCCTGTCTGGCCACCCCTATAAAAATGTTTCTGGGGGCACCCCTGGCAGCAGGAGCACAAGGATATCTGCGATCATGTCGTCTTTTGCTGATCCTTTTAAAGAAGGACATTCTAAATCTACACAAAGTCCAATCAAATGTCATATTTGTCTTTAGGAATGTTGCGTTATTTAATTTTTGAGAGTCTCCAGGTCCCACTGCTCCCTTTTTATCCTAGGTGGTCTTTTCTTTGCCAAGCCCATGCGCTCAAGGGGCTACGTCACCATGTTGGACCCCTTCCAGCAGCTGTATGGAAAACGAATGGGCGGCCTTCTCTTCATACCTGCACTCATGGGCGAGATTTTCTGGTCTGCAGCCATCTTATCTGCCCTTGGTGAGTTTGTTTTTTCTGCAAAGAGCAAATGGAAGGCTTGTTCTGAAGAATCCTGTTAGAGTTGATGCTGCAGAAGTCATGATGTCCTTTCATCTGTGTAGGTGCTACTCTGAGTGTCATTGTGGACATCAACATTAAGATGTCAGTGGTTATATCAGCACTTATTGCGATCTTTTACACCCTGGTGGGAGGGCTGTATTCGGTGGCCTACACTGATGTGGTGCAGCTTTTCTGTATCTTTGTTGGCTTGGTACGTCTCTCTTTAAAAATCTGTTTCTATAACTTTTCCTGCTTTTTTTCAGTCTTTATCTCAGACTCCTGTATCAGTCTGTTTTTAATCTGCTTTTTATTTCTGTCTAAAGTGGATCAGTGTTCCTTTTGCGCTGACCAACGCTGCCGTGTCAGACATCACTGTTACTGCAGTGAAGCAGGTTTACCAGTCACCGTGGAGAGGCAGTGTCAGAAGGGAGGACACCTGGGTCTGGATCGACAACTTCTGCCTTCTGGTATCCACCTGCTGTTCACCTCACTTCTTATCAGAGCGCTTTTAGAAGGAGGTCTAAAGCTGCTTCTGCTGTTGAACTGTCATATAATAGTACATTTGTCAGTTTTAGTATCTGAAATAAGAGATTCTTGGCCAAATTAATCAGTAATGATTACTGAGGGCTCATTTATTAGAATATCATACTTTCCTGTGTGCAGCTAATGAAGAGAAAGTCACTTTTAAGACAATGTGTTAAATCCAGCTAAGAAACAACACTCGTTACTTTATTGATCGTTTATAGGTTCAACATTACCATACCATACCATTCTATTTATACCGCACATTTAAAATACAGCATGAGAGCTGATCAAAGCGCCTTACAGAAGGTTGGAAACAAGCAGAACAAAACATTTCAGTAAAATAATTCAGGAACAGACGATTTAAAAACAATTCAATAAGATAAGATTTCATAATGACTCTTTGGGAAAGCCTTTGTTGGGGCTAAAACACTGTTGTGTGTGTGAAACTAAACTATCTTTGGTTATTTTAATAGAGTACACGTAAAGAATGAGGGAAATGTGTTTTTAGTAACAAACTGGTCTGTTGCAGAGGTGAACCGGTGCAGTGGCACAGCACCGGTTCACCTCTTGGGTTTAGGAGCTTTTCCATGTTTGACTGATTCAAGGGTGGGCGCAAGCTACATAACTGAAGAAGAACTTTAACGGGCTCACATAAAATGTAATGACCGAGCCACTTTTCAACATTTAAAAAATACCTGGTATCTTGGAACAAAAATATAAAGAAATGACGGATGAGTCAAGACTTTCATACAGTATAGAGAAGACTTTAGTTTGAAATAAATAAATCACCTGACTGGTGTTTATTTCTGCAACAGATGTTGGGAGGAATTCCCTGGCAGGTGTACTTCCAAAGAGTCCTGTCGGCCTCCTCAGCCACCTACGCACAAGTCCTCTCCTTCTTGGCTGCTTTTGGGTGCCTCGTCATGGCTGTGCCCTCTGTTCTCATCGGGGCCATCGGGGCCTCCACAGGTAGGAGACATGTGATTAGTGTGTGTGTGTGTGTGTGTGTTTTGAGGGGAGGGCTCCGGATGGGTCCTTGTTGCCCTTAGATCTGAGAGACCCTGGTAAATAACAGCTGGTTGAGCTCATCCATAATGAAGCAGCAATCAGTTTAATAACCACGCTGGTTTGTAAATATTACATCAGACGGAGGCGAGGGACCAAATTAGAGCTGTGATCTCCAGATTTTTGGGTAAGAAACTCCCAACTAAACAAGTAAATAAAATGTTTTTCATGTCTCAAAATACATGCTGATATTTTAGATGTTTGCTAAAAAGGCTAAATAAATAACTGGTACAATGAAAGAAACAGAGAAGTGTGTGATGTTTCAGAGTGGCTATTTCCCATCTGATTTTCTTTTTCCCTAGACTGGAACCAGACGAGTTATGGTGCTATCCCTCCCAAAGAGAAGGACGAGGCAGACATGATTCTTCCCATCGTGCTCCAGCATCTTTGTCCACCTTTTGTTTCTTTTTTCGGTCTGGGGGCAGTATCAGCAGCTGTCATGTCATCGGCAGACTCCTCCATCCTTTCAGCTAGCTCCATGTTTGCTAGAAACATCTACCAGCTGGCCTTCAGGCAGTCAGTAAGTGTGTTTTTACTTCACATAATATAGAAGATGTATGAGTTCATTTTAAACCATCTTTGTTTTCTAGCTGGTACTCTGAGAATGTCGCCACCCTTCCTGTCTATCTCCTCAGGCCTCTGACCGTGAAATCGTGTGGGTGATGCGAATCACGATCTTCGTCTTCGGCGGTCTCGCCACCGTGATGGCTCTGGTGACCGGCACAGTTTACGGCCTCTGGTACCTGAGCTCAGATCTGGTGTACGTCATCATCTTCCCCCAGCTGCTCAGCGTGCTCTTCGTGAAGGGCACCAACACTTATGGTTCAGTTGCTGCGTATTTGTTTGGCCTGCTGCTGCGTATCGGTGGAGGGGAGCCCTACCTGCAGCTGCCACCGTTTATCTACTACCCCGGCTGGACGACCGAGCAGAGGAAGCACCACATCACTGGTGAAATAGAGGAGATTGTGATCCAGAAGTTTCCTTTTAAGACCGTCTCCATGTTGGCCTCCTTTTTGGGGAACTTAGTTTTCTCGCATCTTGCAAAGTACTTATTTGAGAGCGGGACGATTTCCCACAAGTACGACTTTCTTGATGCGGTGGTGTCCAGGCACAGTGGTGAGATAATGGATAAGACTACTCTTGTAACCCGTGGCAACAACATCGGGCTGTCAGAGATGGCATCTGTCAAGCCGCGGCTGAGTGTGACCTTGGCAGCTGCCTTCACCCGCCGGGACACGCTACAGAAGGAAACGGTGGAGGAGGAAGACGAGGAGTCCAGTCCCGACTCCTCCCACCATGATGAGGAATGAGGAAGCCAGGATGAAATTTATATAGAAATGAATAAAAACGTGAATACCCGACTGAACAAAAAGTCAATCGGAATAGGTCCTCTTCTTCCTCCTGCTGGTCTATGAAGACTATGGACATCCAACTGGACGATCGCCACATGTCAGGATAGAAGACCTCTAACGTAACCGCTTGATAATTGTCCAGACGCTGATGGAAAGCAACACATGCAGTCATAATACTCAGAAATATGTGGTTCTGCATTTTTAGCTGTTTTAAGTTAAGCAGGAAAGACTCTTTAGCTTTTCATCACTTAATAAAGCAGATAAAGCAACTATAATGAAACAAAAGAGAGGAGCAAGAAGTGATAGCACAATTGCTAATCAAAAGGGAACCAATAACACAAAAGCAATAATACACATACACACTTTGATGCATTTGCATTGATTATAACCTGATTGTGGCACAGAGAACAGAAAATATCAGTAAAAGAACAAAATATAAATATTATTTAAAGCTTCAATGTGTTAAATCAAGTCAGCAGAACTGAAATCAGACCATCTTTGTTCTATAACGCTTTATCAAAAGAGCAGCCGTATTTCTCACTTTTAAAATCTTCAATTCTTAAACAATCAACTCATTGTGCAAGTAGAAAAACGTAACGTGTTATTGTAGCCGACGGGAAACCTTAGCTAATCTTCTTGTTGATGTCAGGTGTTGTTAAAGAATCAATGTGGGTTAGTGTTTCTTTGTCCCTTATTCAGCTGCCTTAATGATGCTCATTTTTAAATAAAAACACAATAATACTGTAGTTTTAACCAGACTTTGGTCAGGCTGCAGAGAGAAGACTTGAATGTAAATGTAGCTTCCATAGATACACGCTTGGCCAAGTCTCCTTCCTTTCCGGTTGGTTCACGGTCCGAAAGAGCGTAAAAATGAACGCAAATCAACAGGGCTAATTTTCGAATCCGCTTTTTGTTACATCCTGAAACGTAAATATGGGTGTTTCGACCACGCTTGTCATTCACTTTGAGCTTTATCATCTTGCAAAAGTTTGTAATTAACATGACTACGAATCAGACGTTGGTATGTCGAATAAATGGCGTCACCACGAATCTCCTCTCCCCTAGCGTAGCTGCTACCTACCACATGGCCAGATTTATGATGGTTTTTTTCATCCCAAAGGAATGAATTTGAAGTTTACTGAGCCACTTTTCCTCTGCGGTTCTCCGTGTCTGCTTCGATCACATCACTTTTTTGAAGCGCCTTTGTAGTTCCGGATGTATTTTCACACAAAACCTAAAATAACTTTTCCTCCTGTATTCTGTGTCCTAAAATAAGTGCTTTCTTGGCATCAAGACGTGTCTTTAAGATTCACAGACATCATATGTGAAATCCACGGTATTTAACAAATGGAATTAGAAAATAGCGTTTTTCACCCCATTGACTTGTATTCATTTTTTCGTTCCTCCGGGGATCCATGGACTGGAAGTAGATGGGCGTGACTTAGGCTCCCTATTTCCTCCATGTTTATGACGAGTCTTGGTGTGTCGCAGGGTGATGAGGTGGCAGCCTCCGACCAATGCTTGTTCTCAGCAGCAGTGAATAAAGTTTGTTTTGTGATGTGTACATTTGTAAATATGCAATATATGGGTAAAAGGTAAATAACAATAACAAACTGCTGAAAATATATCAAATGGAAAAAATGTTTAAATGTTTATTTATTTTTTATCTCATAAAAAATTTAATAAAAAAGAAAAGAATTATAGAATAAATGAACACGATTCATTCGTCTTTATTAGTTTGTAAACAGAATGTTTTCTAGTTGTGAATTAGATGTGATGTCATGTCTTGTTAATAATAATAATAACAATAATAATAATAATGATAATAACAACTACCACAAGAACAATAATAATAATAATAATGGTAGATTATAATCACTCTGATTTGATGGTTTTGGTTTAACCATAATAATTTTTAACCCACATATAAAAAATTGCTTTTATTGTATTTTTTGTCTTTCTTCATGCTTACACGATCATGTGTCATAAAGACCGTAAATGACAGAAGATTTAAAAGGAAGACAAACACATGAGTTGCATCTTGGGTAAAAAATAAATAAATAAAACTTTTGTTAACCTAACCCAAAAGGGTTAACCCAAAGGTCAATGGTGGTACAGATTTCTTTGTGCTTTTTTTTATTTTTAAACAAACTTTAATCCATTTGTCCATTTACCTTTTCAGCTTGTTGGAATTTGAACCCAGCCGGCTTCCATGTCTTCATGAATTTAATTTATTTAATAAAAGAGGAATTTACTGGTCCAAGCCCGTTTTCTGCCTGGTCTTCCAGCTAACTGATGGAAATGTTGGATACGTGACTGAAATTACAATCGCTTGGCTTGCATCTTTGTCCCTGTCCTTGTCCACAGTGAAAGACAGCTTCTTAAAATAGCTCCCTCTTTGCCTATTTACTTTAAGTGCTGTTCTCTGTCTGGATGCGGGCTTGGGGTGGAGCCATGACAGAGTGGGTGGGGTTACTGCTGGTCAGGCAGGGAAGATGGACGGAGGTGGGGGTGAGAAACCCACCAGCACCCGTCCATTGCCTTGGAATCTACGAGCACCAACCAACAGGGATGACGCCAGTGCTCCGTCCATTCTTTGTCTCCTCCCTCCAACGCTAACAACCTCTTTGATGTCCTGGAGTACTGAGACCAATCCCATAAAAGAAGAGAGGGGTGGTGGAAGAGAAAGAGTCATGCCGCCATTCATAGAAAGAGCCTCTGAGAGCACTTATGATGATTAACAATTATGAAACAAAACTGCCTCTTGTCCAAAAGTCAATCCATTTATCCAAGGCTTGGTGGGCGGTGAGACCGCTGGGCGATGGCTTTCTGCTACGCAGCGTTTGGATACAAACCAAAATCAAATCATTCAGAAGTCATGAGTAAAATGTCTCATCATGTTTTTGTGTTGCTCAAAAACAGTTAAGGGACTTTTCTTCCATCTCAAAAATGTATTTCATTCTGGCTTTCTGAGTAATACAGAAACACGTTTCAAAATATGACTAATTATTTTCTAATAATCACGAGTAATGATGACCAGCTGAAACAACAGCAATAAAAGCATCAATTAAACAGCTTTTAAAGGTGAATGAATGAATCAATCTTCTTGCTCTGAATTTGATCTGATTTGTCTTTTGTAATTGTCTCTGACCGTTTTCCCCTGAACATACCATTAGTTAAAGGATAAAAGGAAATTCTGGGAATCAAGATCTGACTTTTCTTTAACAAGGACCCGAAGAGATGAGATTAGTGCGAGCAGATGCACTGAGACAGACATCTGATGTGCACATCTGATGTGCTGCAGACGGGAGCGAACAAGCAGGGTGACCTGATGTTCAGGTCTCAAAGTGCTAGCTGGAAACGATCGTATCCATGCAGATTTGGTTCTGGTTTGTTCATCAAATATTTGGACCTCAAATTCTTTAGACCATAAAAAAAAAAACTGCATGTGATCATAAAATGTTAGCATTCTTCTTCAGTATGAAAAAAGAACATTAGGATGTTGGACTTTTTAAAGATCAACATGAAAAGAAGAAACATTCAGATGTGTGGAAAGTTCAAATGGAGTGCATTTCATAAACCGAGTCGGAGAACTCTGTATTTAAAAACATAGTTTTGCTGAACTAACATTAGACTAACATGTTGGTGAAGAAATCTGGAGGTTTGAAGCCAAACTTTGCAACTTTTTCATATTTTTAACTCACTGAGCCAGTATGTGCTACCCTTTAAAGGGTTAATGAAAGACCACCCAGCCACATCACCCCCTGAAGCCAGAATATTCTACTTTGAACGTCAGAATGGCGGGCTGCTCTGTTGGGAAAATGGAGCTGACACACCAGGCCCTGCAGACTGGTTCCTGCATGTTTTACATCATGAACAAAGATTTATTTTTCACCGCTCTGAGGTTGACCAAAAGTGCTGCAAAGACCGGTCAGATCTGCTCGTAGAATGACCAACAGCAGCTTTCCCTCTCAAGCCATGATGCATAAATTGTGGCAACCTCAGCTGATTTTATTTTTCCTTAAGTGGTTTTTACTTGCTAACTTTTATCTTGGCATGAAAGTAATTGTGTATAGTGTATTTTAAACATTTTATTCTCAGTAATATTTTTATAGCAGGGGTGCCAAACCACTGACCCAATGACCAATATAGTTCTGTGGGTCACTCTGGAAGATGTAAAACAGCTTTGAAAAAGTTCCCTGGTGTATTTTTTAGAATCAGCTGGAATAGTATTTATTTATTTGTATTTCTTATTTTTATTACATAGGCAACCGTTCAGATTTAGCTCATGCACTTCTTACGATTGTTATACACATAATTACGTCCACTCCCTTTTGCTCTATGGAGAGTTGTCTTTTATAAAACTGTGACATCCAAAAAAACAAGCAACAAAAAAAACAATGATTTTATATGTGCAAATAACCCCTCAGCACCCAAACATTTACAAAGAAACAGCTTTTAAAATAGGTGTCACTAGTCATCACTACATGCATGAAAAGGTGAGACAACATTTACTCAAGCAGCAGATGAAGAGGCAGAGGAAAAGCAATGCTGATGGACCCCACCCGTTAAGTTCATGAACTATTCACCCTCTCAGGCAGAGGACTGATCGTGATTGTTGTTTTCAACATTTACCACAAAAAAAGTCCAAGACAAGGGCATTTAACACATTCCTATTTGATCGTGAGTCCAGAAGAAGAAACAAAAGTCTGAACCTTGTTTCAGCTATTGGCTCAGCTGCTCTTTTCCAAAGAACCTGACACAGAAGACCTGCCATATCTCATGCTAGAGAGAGGTACCGCCGTCATGATGGCAGGCTCCTATTTATGTCCTTCATAAGTAATGTCCTCAGTAATTTAATTGAAAGTCACGTAATTGAAACACTGAGGGGGGATGGGGGAGGATGACGCACATTTGAGAGGGTATTAATCATAGTATGTGTTTAGTATTTCAATGTAAAACAAATAAAAACAGTACTTCATTCACTGCTTAACCTAGGAGCATAAACATGCAGCTTTGTCTTAAATACAAGTGCAAAGATGCTTTTACACAAACACACACACACACACCTACACACACGTTGTGATAGTCACGTCTAATTGTTTCCCATATATCACTCCATCTCCTCCATTAGCCCCTCCAAGCAGCGTCTCCAGCAGAACGAGCGTAGCAGCTTCCCAAATCGAATCAGCGAGGAGAACCTGATTACAGAACCAGCTTTGTTCCTGTCAGGTCAGCTGCAGGTACACCGTCTGGGACTCACTGCAGGAATGAGACACAGTTAGCAAACCCCTAAATCTTAATGAGTCACTGCCGTGAATCAGCATCACCGATGAGAAACTAGAGCTGTGGGTTAGTTACGTCGGTCTCCATTTTACAAGCAGTGGGGAGAAGTCAGCCTGAGGGGAATCCAAACCCTGGTGGATAGAGTAAATGTTGCTTGGGTATAGAAGGAAAGGGTAAAAAAGAACATGTGTAAATAAATAATAAAGTGTAGGTTCTTCATTGCAGAATGTTCTGTTATGACTTAATTAGAGGACTCAGTGCTACAGCTGATCAGAGAAGTGCTGAGTAAATGTGGATTTAGCTAATTCTAATTTTTATAAACTAACTGTACATTAATATTCTACTTTTGTGTTTAATTTGATGTCATATTTCTATTTTGGTGAGAATTGAGTTAGAATGACTAAAAACCATAATTTCTATCAATGTATTCTAGATGCTGTCCTGCTTTTCAGCTCGTCTCTTTCTTTAGACACAGTTAGGAGGCGTGTTTTGGAAGGAACAGCCATTTTTTTCCTCTTAATTCTTTTGACCATTGAAAATCACTGGACAGAGTAATTCAGTATGGAACCACACACGCACACACACATGCAAAAGAAACACACTTTATCTCCAGAGGGCCTGCTCACCGTATGAATGAAGACACAAAGACAGACTCACACACAAGGCCCCTGGTAAGGATGGTGATGGAGATTAAGGACAGATTCAATGTTCTTTTTAGTAAAAAATGTAAAAAATTCACATTGATTTGTTTTGCAACCCTAAGTGTTTCTTAATTTAAAGACTGAAACACAGACTGTTTGCAGAAAGTAGCAACAAAGACGATGAAACAAAGATGGAAAAACCAAGGACAAATATGAGGAAAATGCTCAAAGGGTCATTTTACCTGTTAGCTCATCACGACGCACAAGCCTTCAGCCACGCCCAGATTATGTGTGTGTGAGCACATTGTTGTATATCTGAGTGTGTGTTCAGTATCACGACCAATTGAGTCTGAGCCAGAAGATCCATTAGTTGATTGAAAAGCACAAGGTTGCAAATGTAACCCTGAGAAAAGGTGACAAGAGCACTTTCTCTCACTCTCTAAAACACACACACACACACACACACACACACACACACACACACACACACACACACACACACACACACACACACACACACACACACACACACACACACACACACGCACACACACGCACGCACACACACACATCCTTGATTTCTGTGCACTATGCGGCCATATCATTCGGTCCAGTTTGACTCTGTAGCGGAGGCAAATTGCTGATTTTATTTGATATAACCAGGAAGATGTAATATTCTATATAAATATAAAATATTAACCTGCTAGGTTCTTTATTGTAATTAATCAAAAGCCGTCGTCGTCGTCTTCCTCCGCTTATCCGGGCCCGGGTCGCGGGGGCAGCATCC